AGGATCCAAGACCTATTACTTTGCAGTGTAGATTCAGCCCCATTTAACCCAGGGCCTGGGAATCATCCAGAACTATCCCACAATTTCAGGGGAAAACTTCCTCAGACCTCTTAATGGATGATGCTTACCAGTTCAAATTAACTGGTAATCAGAGGGGGCTGGAGCAGCTCCCCACCTTGTCCGGAGTAGCCCCTGTTTCTGGAGAACCCCGGGGGCCTCACAGGCAGGGACTACACCAGTGTCTGGAATAGCCTCCATGCGGAGTCCAGCTTGCTATGAACAGAGGCTGCTCCAGAGGGGACAACCCCACCATGACCTAAAATTAACTGGTTAACTGATTAATGGGAATTTACATGCCTAATGAGATGTACTGGAACTGCATTTTTTGAAGTTACTGCAAAGCTATTAAGTGTCCTCCATTTCCACATGTCATAATGACAATACGGAACTAACCATGTCAATTACAGGGTGGAGAAGTTCATAATTACCACTGCTGCTTGAAAGGTACATTTCCCATGGAGGTCAGTGGGGCTGGTCTATTTTATATGTAAAGCTACTGAGAAATGTACATGTCAGTACCATGATGGCAATGCCTGTTATGTAAATAATACTTAATAATACAGCCGGTCCCTGAGTTACGAATGAGTTACGGACCAAACACTTGGCCATAACTCGAAGTGTTCGTAACATGGATCCCATTGAGTTACATGGTGACTGCGCTGTTCGTATGCGCAGATCGCGTTCATAACTCGGGGACCACATTTACGACTGCTTTGGTTGTAAATGCGGATGGTCGTATGTGGAGGTGGTTGTAAGTCGGAGACCGGCTGTAATTGCCAAATGAGACCACTTCCCAACCTGCTTACAAAGGGCCTGATCCAATTTAAACTTTAAGCTAGGATTGGGCCAAAAGCAATCTGTTGATATTACCCAAGAAGATCCAGTTAACATTTAGTTACCCTTCAAAAATATAAGGGACCATCAGTAAAAGTTCCACTGCCTGGTAGAGGTGATTTTTGAAGAAAATTGGAGAGACTTTAAATTGACTTCTTCTAACAGCAGCATTTTCTCTCACTGGATGTGGGGTCTTTAGCACAGATTTCTCTTTGTGTGTCAGAATAACTCCGAAATGCATTGTCACTGCTAACTCCATTCAGGTGTAGATAACGTTCAGTCCAAAGACAGAACAAATCCCTTGAAACTGAAAGTCAAAACGTCTCACCTCTTCACAAATCTCACAAAGGGCTTGTTCACCCAGACACACAAGTCATGACTAGGGTTGCCAGGTGTCCGGTATTGTACCGGACAGTCCGGTATTTGCGCACTCTGTCCTGTAAAAAAAACCAGAAAATACCGGACATGTGCAATGTCCGGTATTTTCTGATTTTTCTGGCTTCGCACTGGACGGAAGCCTGGTGTGGACGGGGGAGCAGCTGGGAGTCCCAGCTGGGAGACGGGGCCGCAATTGCTGCCTGGAGCCCTCAATTGGTTGAGTGTGAAGGGGAGGGGGAGCCTCCTCCTCACTCGTGCATCGCCGGAAGCCTGCACGGGACAGGCAGCAAGTGCCCAGGGCACTCCC